ATGTTGATTTAACAAAATATTATTTTGTTAATTGAACATAAAAAATATTTAAATTCAATTCAATTTATTAAATTTAACAAAACGTATATTTGGCTTAAATACTACACTGTAAAAAAATTATATAACATGTTACATAAAAATATGTAAAATTATATAAATAATAAGGGTAAAATAACACGATAAATATATACATTTCCATAAAAATATGTGAAATTATACTTATTATTTATGTAATTTTACATATTTTTCTGTAATATATTACATACTTTTTTACAGTGTAATATACGTTGATTTAACAAAATAGTAATTTAATTAAAAGGTTTAGTCAAATAAACAAATCTTTTTTTATACTTTTCCATCTTCTCGCGTCGTTCGCATAGCACAAGAAACTTTTCGTCTATTACAGTTTCGTGAAATGCGTATTTGTAAAAAATGACGAACAATAACTATTCCCGCGGAAAATAGGTATCGCACATGCAATGTTTTTATTGAACCGAATCCAGACATTGCGTGCCAGTCCATAGCGTTGCGTGGAATTATAAATTTATATAGCAGGCACGTGTACGCCGTTAAAAAGATTATTTATCCAAATCAGAATATCGTGCTCCTCGCATTTCACGCGAAAAAACGAGTGGCATTTTCATACCGCATACAAATGACATTTTCCCTTCGATAATCATAAAAAAAAAGTAAGAGATAAATATCGCTCGAACTGATTCGCGTTAATTAACAATTAACTCGCGCCTAATTTTCTATTCGAGCAAGTCGAAATTAAATCCAAAGTAAGACACCTGTTAATTGTGAATTGTTCAAAGTGTCTGGAACGAAAGTGCCTTCTGATAATTAATCGCGCAGCTAACATTATCAACGCTTGACACAGTTCTGTCATATCTAATTAATGCGATACCGTGCATCCATTACGAATAATGCAATTAATTATTACGCATCAAATGGCTGTCTATTAGACGACAGTTTTCATTCAAATTTTGATGCATATGTTTAGTGAATCTATATACAATATATATATATATATATATATGAAAAAGCAGAGGGAAAAAAATACACACGAACAGTGTAGGGATAAATATTTCAGACGTGTTGCATCGCAAGAGTAAGAGTGTTGCAATCAAACTTAATTAATTTAAATAGTTAATTTATAAAAAATAGGACTTATAAATTTTGCACTTTATACATCTCTGGCGTGATTTTATTTTTCTTTCCTCTAATTTAAATGTTGTTAGAGATAAACGCGTTTTTAAATTAACTCCGTCGAGAGAGACTTATTTGCGCAGTCCTCTCGAAATAAAACGCGGAGAGCAAAATTATTACATTAAAAAGTAACGAAAAAAGCGTATAAAATAATGTTTTATATTAAATTAAAATTAACAGCGATACTTTAACGTATATAGTTTACGGAATCCGTTTATCTCATCCAAATTACACGTATTGAGCTGCAAAATCACACACAATCGCTCGAGTATTTGCAAAGTCGCGAATGCCGTGTAACAGCGTTGTATGGAATTCCATTGCATAATTATCTATTTCACAGGCAAATCATTATACGGCTCGATTGCAAGTGAATTTTACAAGGGGCAACAAGAGTTCGGCAGCAAGACGAAACGATGTAGTTGCCTATATAGCCGCGAGCTATTGAAATTTACTTGCTCCAACAATATCTACACACGTATATATGTATATGCACGATTCGCATGAACAATTAAGAAAAAATTATTAAAAACAAACGACGCGCATAATTGGGAAAATATGATTTTTATATTAGACCGAAAAAATTAACGAAGCAACATTCAGGGTTGGGCAGACACTTCGAAACAAAATATTTAAATACGAGATACAAGATACTGTTTGACGTATGTATCGAAATACTTTGGTTTTGAAATATATTTAAATACTAATTATATTTAAATACATTTATAAATACTTTTAAATACAGTTATTCTCAGTCAGTTTCTTTAAATTTTCTGATTATATATTATACTTTATATTAAAATAATTACAAAAAGATTACCTATTATTATTTAAAAAATTAAATGTACTACTACTATTACTATTATTTAATACTATTAAATAATGTTACATACTATTTAATACTATTAAATAATACTATTACTATTATTTAAAAAAATAAAATTTATTTTATTATTTAATTTATTACTTAATTTAAATGTATCTTGTAAACGTATTTAAATATGTATCTCAGATACTTTAACATATCTGCCCAACCCTGGCTGCATTTCGAATTAAACGATACGGCATAGAATGACGATAAAATTATATGTCGTTAGACGTAATTTAGCTTTAATGATCCGCGCAACTTCTCAAGTTATCATTCTACTATCTACTTTATTATACTTGCTATTGACTCAGATCGGCACAAGCGGTTGGTTAATATTTGTTCATCGAGAATGGACAAACGGACTCAATTTTAGGGGAAGCTAAAAGCAAGCGGAACAAGAGATACTACGTGGCTTTTGTTTATGCAATTTTTCCGCCGCGGCTTAATTTCAATAAACAATTTATTTGAATAATTTACCTGGAAAAACTGTTAAAATTTTTCGAATACTATATCGTCTGAATATAAATAAAAGAATTTAATCGCGTGAAACAATATCATATAAAAGTTGCGAACTTTTTTAACATCTTTAATCTTGCAAAGGAAAAATAGCGCTTTTAGAGATTTACCATCGCTAAAACAAAAAATGTTAAAAAATTCCAAAATATAATAAATATATAGAAAAATGTATCTATATTTTTCCTAAAAAAAACAGAGTGTCTAGTAAAATTTGAGAATAAAATTTAAGGATAATTCCAGGACATTTCAAGGAAATTTGCACGATTTTCCAACAATATGATAAAAATGTATAAGAAACCGAAAATTTTATTTATTTATTTATTTTATCAAGTGAATATAAATTGCACGTTAATGAAAATTAATATATGCATTACAAATATTCGATATAATATTTTTTATATTATATTATATTTGAACTTTTAAAATCTACAGAGACAATTTTTTCTTAGAATTTACCCTGAAAATCACGGTAATCGTGGATCAATATATATTGGAAGAATTTTATAAGAGTTTCTCTGATTAATATTTACAAAAAATTAATAATAAAAAAATATTAATATCTACCGTAATAAAATATTAATACTTTTTTATTGTAATAAATATTTAATCAGAAAAACTTATAAAATTCCATCCCACAATTATCATGATTTTCAGGGTAAATTCTAAGAAAAAAAAATTCTCTCCATGTATAAACAACTTATGCGCAACACATTTTTAGATTCCGTAAATATACAAAATATATTGTATTATTTATGAAGTAAGATTAAATATTTTTTACTCGAACAGTCTCAGCTGATTCTTTTAGCTGAATATTTATTTATTATATATATATATATATATATATATATATATTATATATATTTATTATTTATTTAATATATATATTTATTATTAACAACATTATATATATTTATTTATTATTAAAAGCAACAAAAAAATCATAAAGATTTACGAAAAATTCAGATTCCTGGATTTCCAGGATTTTTAAAGGAGAAACAAAATTCAAGGATTTCAAGGACGGCTAGACACCCTGACAAAAAAGCAAAAACCGAAACAAGGCTTCGCGAATCAGTCGCATACCTGGGAAGGCTAATCCGATTCGACAAGTCGCCGCGAGTAAGAAAAAGCCGCGAGGGAAATGAGTTTACGGTATCTGCTGATTAATTGGCAGGACGGGTAAACATTGGTCTCGGGACCTAAGGCTTGTTTGCTTGTATATACATCGTCGAGCCGTAAGGATGAAGGACTATATGGGCTCGTTCATGTATTGAACGAGCGCACGTTGACACGAACGGCCGCGTTCTCCAGAACATGTGGCAGGCGGGTGCCTACCTAGCTACCCCCGTGTAGCTTTTGTGTTACAAATCATGTTTACATTATCGCTACACTTGTGCCGCCGTTAACCGGCGTGTTCTATACGCGCACTCATTCTCGACAGTCTAATAGCCCGAGGAGACTAGGCAAGCCAATTTACTGAGCTCAAGGGCTGCGGCGATTAGTTTGATTTTCGGATTCGTTAGATCTGTAGTCGAGGAATCGTATATATATATATATGTATTAATATGCACTATTCGCATGAACAATTAAGAAAAAATTATTAAAAACAAACGACGCGCATAATTGGGAAAGTATGATTTTTATATTAGACCGAAAAATTAACGAAGCAACATTCAGGGTTGAGCAGATACTTCGAAACAAAATATTTAAATACGAGATACAAGATACTGTTTGACATATGTATTGAAATACTTTGGTTTTGAAATATATTTAAATACTATTATATTTAAATACATTTATAATACTTTTAAATACAGTTATTCTTTAAATTTTCTGATTATATATTATATACTTAATATTAAAGTAATTACAAAAAGATTATCTACTATTATTTAAAAATTAAATTTACTACTACTATTACTATTATTTAATACTATTAAATAATGTTACATACTATTTAATACTATTAAATATATATATATGGGCGAATTGAAGAGAAAATATTATGTTAGCCCTATTAAGCGAGCGAGTAAGATTTCCCTGTTTCAGCGGAATTAAATACTCATTTGTTTTCGCCGATGACATTTTCATTGATTTAAAAAGAGTGTACTTACGTTTTGAAGAATCCGTGTCGGAAAGATTTTTTCCTTTACATGATTGACATACATATATTTCAGATTGCAAATAGTTATTTATAGATATAATTATTACAGTATAGCAATAAAAAAATGGTCAAACAAATTTATATTTCTCAGCATTTATCATAATTTTGCGCGTCGTAAAAATCGCGCAAATAGATAAATAAAACAATATTATATTGTAATAATAGGTAAACAGGGAAATAAAACAACATTATAACAATTGCTTTTTATTAAAAATAAAAAATAATAGAATTCTTTTTTTTTTCACTCACCAGTACGATGCGCAACAGTGAAGATGTGATCTGTAAAAAAAAATAGATCACTAATTATAACATTATAACAAATGACTTTTTATTAAAAATAAATAATGTAATTCTTTCTCTCACTCACAGTTCGATGAGTAATAATGTGTGTGAACTTATAAAACACAACAATGTAATTTGTAAAAAAAAAAAAATATCGATACATGACGAACACTCGTGAGAAAATAGTTAATTACAATTGTCTGAACAATATTAATTAATAGAATACAATCGCAGGATAGTGTTTTTTAGAATCATTTGTAGAATCATTTCTAGTAATTTTTGTTTCCTTTGTAGTTGTACGACTTAGAAATTGCAGTTGTTTAAACAAATTGTCAAAAGTGATTTCTGTCAATTTAAAACATTTGTCAAATTTGCTTTTTCCATTAATAATAAATCTCGATTGCTATTGCTACAAACAACTATAAACGAGTCTGAAAAACTTAGAAAAAGCAGATTTGAAAAATTTTTTTAATTGACACTCGACCATTTGTTTAAACAATTGCAAGCAAATTTGAAATATCTTAATGTCGGGTGCTGGTCATTAAAAATTTTTTTTATTTTTTAATTAACAAAAGTACAAACAAAATGATCATTTTCCGTATAAAAAAATTAGTTTTTTAAAACTCGGGTGCTAGATTTATATAGCTAATATTTCTGTATAATCATAACAATTATAACGCGATTATATAATATATTAATTCGTATATTGAATTTTTGTCGATTTAAATGTAACTTGAGATTTAATTAATTATAATTAATTTAAAAAATCCAAGAAACAAAGTATACATCACACATAAATTTATTTCATACACTAAAAAAATTTGTTAACTTGACTAGATCTTTTAATTAAATATTATTTTGTTAATTAAACATATAAAATATTTAAATTAAATGTACATATTCAATCTAACAAAACGTATATTTGGTTTAAATACTAATATATGTTCATTAACAAACTAGTAAATTAGTTGAAAAATTTAGTCAAGTTAACACATTTTTTTGTCAATGTAATGTGTTAAATATTTCGTAATTATACCGAAAACACATTGACATACAACAATATTTACATATCATATCCTGTTATTTGCTCAGCGAGTCACGTCGTATTATTTCTGAAAACATTATCACGACAAGAATTACGAGATAACGTGATTATTTCCTTATTGATTATCATAATTAGCAACTATCAATCCGCCCGATTAATTAACTCTCGCGATGTACAATTCGTGTCAAAGCAAATTGATCTTTAGTGCAACTTATAGATTTCAGATAAGATTCTCGGTGACAGAAAGTTACACAAAATATCGTTTTATTTAGATCATTTGTCCATTATTTTAGTGACAAAAGTAATACATCAATCACCAAAGTCGATTAATTTAAGCAATAGAAAATCGTGATATATTGGCTATTTATTAATAATAACTAATTATTTCGATTATATATATATTTTCGAATCGCGTCTCAAATAACTTTTAATTCGGTTCGCGTAATATTAGAATAAAGCAATAATCGATATCATTTTCAATTACCAATTAAAAAGATCGACGGCGCATTTAAATCTAATCGCAAGAATAATTGTATCTAATTACAGTATTTTGATATTTGTGCAATATATAATAAAATTCACGTCGCGTATCGATTAATATCGGAAATATCGTGCGATCATATTTTACTAATTAGCTCATTTTTTACATTACAATATTGTGTTTTAAGCATCATATCGATGAGTGAGAAAGAGAAAGTTAAATGCTTTTTTATTTGAAAAAATACTTAAAAAAATCAAGTCATTCTTTGATAATGTGTATTCACATTTTTTTTGATTGCATAATTATCCATATATATAAATTTCATTTAAATATATTTTTTTTAATTTAAATTTGATTTATCACGATAATAAATGCAGTAAAAAAACTATTTTGTATTATTTATTTTTGTAAATTGCTTGCTATTTAAATTTATTTTTCATTTGTCTATATTTTTTATTATATTAAATACAGATCAAAAGTTTAAATTTAATTAACAAAAATGTTCAAGATAAATATAATCGTATTGTAGATCCATTATCTCGAATTGTATAAATTAAGAATATAATATGAATTAATTTTGGAATACGTTCGTTGATTTATTGTATGCAATGTGAAGCTCATTCGTCGTGAAATAGAATCATTTTCTGTATATATAAAGTAATTTTGAGATATATACATATATTTAATCTTATATTCATATACATATAAGTATCAAAATATTAAAAAATATTATAACATATAAAAAAATTTTTAAAACTGGTATTTTCTAATATCACGTCAAAAATACAATAGCGTACACGGAGAGAATTTTTTCTTAGAATTTACCCTGGAAATCATGATAATAATGACAATATGGTATTGGAAGAATTTTATAAGAATTTCTCTGATAATAAAAAAATATTAATATTTATTAATAATTGCGATAAATATTAATCAGAGAAATTCTTATAAAATTCTTCCAATACCATATTGACCATGATTATATAGTAAAATTTATCATGTACATACTAAAATTTACTATGCACATATTAATATTTTTTATTGCGAAATAAATATTAATCAAAGAAATTCTTATAAAATTCTTCCAATATCATATTGTCCATGATTTTCAGGATAAATTCTAGAGAGATTTTTTCTGTGTATAAGCAATATATAACAAATATAATCGCGTTAAAAGATAAAAAAATAAAAGCTGATTGTAAAAAACAGTTCAATACTATTTTTTATACTCTGCAAAATGCCTGAGCTAGTAAGCGCTAATGTTAAAATGCAAATGGATAAAAGAACGAGTATAATGGCCTTAAATGCGACGGTATTAGTTACTTCAGTGTCTAGCGTCACTCTGTTGGAGTTACTAATACCGCCGTATTAGCAACCAGGTTAAAAGTAGAACAGACTATAGCTGTTAAATATTGATTCGGGAACATTTAACCGTCTGCGCCAGAATCAATCAGCCAGAGTGCATTCTTTTCGGACAAAATTGCATTTTTCATATTTTGCGCGACATGTGTTCAAAAATATTTTTCTGTTCTTACCGTGCGACGTCGATAATTTTTTTTCATAAGTATATCTTATAGATATCTACTTTTTTGAATGCTTATAAGATCGTTTCTTGTATACATTAGAAAATATTTTATCGCGAAAGATTTGAAAAATAAATAAATATCTTGGTCGATGTAAAAAATTAATTTGTTGGAAATTTGGAAGAATAATTTTTGAAATTGTGAAGAACGACGCAACACGGCGAAATAAACAGAGTACTTAGATTCGATATATATAAAAGCCATCCCGATATATTATTAACAATTGTTTGTTTATCAACGCTTCAACATAATGATATATTACACATGCGATATTTAATATATTATGAATCATGTGTGGCGCGCTGATTTGAAACCTATTTCATATACGTTCTAATAACTAACAACAATAACAATAACAACGAATTATTTTCAAATTATTAATATTAAAATAAATACTTTATATATGTATATATATACCATGATGTAACTAAGAGAGTATAAAAATATCTATAATTATATATAAAAGTTTTGTTGCAGAAAAGATAAAATTTATAAATTTTTAGGATAATTCATAAACAAAACACTTTAGTCTTCGATCGAGCTTAATTCACCCAAATTGATCAGAATTCACAAATGGAAACTTGATTCAGATTCAAAACACGATGTTATATTTATCTATATATGAAATATTAATTTGTGTTTTCAAGCCACTGTCAAGTGAGATTCCTAAATAAATATGAGAAGAACTACGGTAAAATTAAACAACGCAAACTTTTGACATTCCAATACTTGAATTGAACCTACATTACAATCCCGCTGGCAATGACAACCCCGGAGAAGACTAGTTTAAGAGACTTTTCCTAAGAAACTGCAGTATATTAGTCCCGGCGATCACGTCACAAAAGTTATTGCGATACAATGACAAACCCCATAAATGATTCAAACGAGCGCGGAATTGTCGGGAGTTATGTGACATTGTTCGACCGCTCGGATACGTTTCCCTTTCTCCTCTTCCTTACCCCTGAACAAAAGACTCTCTGACACGCAAAATTGACCGAAGGAAAAGAGAGTAAAAAAAGGATGTGACTGGGAAGGGAATGAATGTGTGTGGCCGGCAATGCTGGGGAGTGTCTAGATACATGTATCTAGATACATTTTGTGTATCTGACAAGGGATGTTGGGCAACCTGAAAATTCAAAAAATGCTGAAACTTGGTGTACAAGTAGAGTAGTTTATCCATAACGCAAAACTATTTTTTGTTTGTGCTGAATTACGATCACCCTTCATAAGTAGAATGGGTTTTAGCTTTTCTCGTTCATCTCGAAAGTTATTCAAGATTAAAAAATGTTATAGACAAAAGTTTTATGGTAAAAAAAACCTCTCTAACCACGTTAATAAAATTTTGAAAAAATAATTTTTCAAAATTATTTTTGAGTAAATGAATCATTGAGTATATGTAATAATGTTTCTATTTTAAAATGTATCGTTTCAACAGACATCTTTCAACGCATATTTTGCAAAAATAATTTTCTGTTTTTTCTTCTTCCACGTGATATTAAAATGGTAAAAAAAAGGAATTATTTGGAGAAAAGAGGGGCATAATTGTCGGACTTCATAAGGCCGAAAAGAGTAATAGACAATAGTCATTTATAGTCATTTATAGTCATATTATTTATAATTGTCGGAGTTCATAAGGCCAGAAAGAGTAATAGACAAATTTTATAGTCATATTTATAGTCATTTATAGTCCTTTATTTATAGTCATTTATAGTCCTTTATTTATAGTCATTTAAACACAATCAAGGCCAGAAAGAGTAATAGACAAATTTTATAGTCATTTATAGTCCTTTATTTATAGTCATTTAAACACAATTTACCTAGGTAGGCAAATACTTTTGAGCGATATATACATTTTAATTTGCGTATCTCTGTGTCTGTACCTAGATAT